CCTGTAAGGTCCCGCATCAACAGCCCCCCGTGTACAGCCCGGCCACTCCTTCCAGTCCTTCCACCCGCTGTGCACACCCTCCGCTATGCTGGCTTTCAATACATTTAGATGTAGCTGGACATCCACTCACTTGTCATTCTCTATAAAAGTACCTTCTCTGAGGATAGTAGTCTTAACCACCAGCATTTTACTGCCTATAAATGAGCTGCAAACGGGGCTAAGGGCCTGTCCTGCTGCATCTGTCCCGCTCTCACAAAGACCCCACAAGGCAAACACGGTCCATCTCATGGATAAGAAAGCTGAGGGCCAGAGAGGTTAAGTCGCCACCCAAAGTGGCGCAGCTGGCAAAAGGCAGAGTCCTTTTTCTCTACCCTGCATGTCCAGGGCAGCTTGGAATCCCGGGCCCTGCTCCCTGGCCGAACATCCGACAGATGCTTGTGGTGCTCATTTAAAAAAAAATGAGTGGCTCGGGGCAGATGGATCAATCTGGGCTTTGACGGACGGGCAGAATTGGGTTAGGCTGGGAGAAGAAAAACACTCCAGTACTTGTCAGAACAGTACCGTGTGTGTGCCAGTGCGAGAAAAGAGAGACAGACAGACACAAGGAACTGACCCCTGGACTGACGGTGCGCTCAGGTGGAGGACTACCAGAAGGTAAGTTGGGAAATGCAGGTTGAGGCCAGATGGATAAAGGCCTCGACAGCCCAGCTGAACTTGTCAGAACTTCAAGGACATGGCCATCCCTGACACTACAAAGGCGATCCTTGATCCTTGATTCAAGGAGCCACCTGGCATTGTCTGACTTCTAACTCACATCCATCCTCCAGCCCAAACTCCCTGGCTCCAGGGGCAGCTCCCCAGGGCACACCTGGGGGGCTGAGAGCGTGGCACCAGGAGGAGAGGGACAGGACGGGATGGGGCAGCGCTGAAGGTCAGCAAGGCGGGCACGCACCCCGAGCGGAGGTACTGAAGCAGCACTGCTGGGCACAGACACAGGCAAACACGTTTGAGCAAATTGGAACGACATAAAAGTCTATTACAGCAAATCAAACAGCAGTCAGCATGACAGCCATTAGCCTGAAATGAATACACGGGGACTTAATGAGGTCTGTCGAGGCTGGCTTGGTGAATTAAGTTGCCAATTCTAGCAGGATTTCCCTTTTCTTTACGGACTTGAAAGCATCCACGCTGCCTCGTTAGGGCTTCGACAAGTGAATTGCAGGGCCTTTCACCCTGATAAAATGGATAATTACACGGAGAACAGCTTAGCGAGGGGAGAGGGGTGGGCAAGAGGGGAACGAGAACAAACAAACCCAAACACACCTGCCTGGCTTCTCCCAAGGCCAGGGCAGGGGCTTCCAGAGGAAGAGGGGGC